GATAGAAAACTTGAACAGACCAATAACAACTAAGGAAATTGAACATGTAATCAAGAATCTCCTAGCAAACAAAACCCCAGGCCTCGACAGCTTCACGGGGGAATTTTACCAAACATTCAAAAAACAACTTACACCCATGCTCCTCAAACTATACCAAACAATTCAAGAAGAAAGAACTTACAAACTTGTTTTATGAGACATCATATAATTCTAACTCCAAAACCAGATAAAGACACTACAAAGAAAGAAAACACCCTGATGAACATAGGTGCCGAAATTCTTAACAAAATATTAATAAATCGGATTGAGCAACACATTAAAAAAAATTAGTCACCATGACTAAGTGGGATTCATCCCAGGGATGCAAGGCTGGTACAATATTTGCAAATCAATAACTGTGATACACCACATAAACAAAAGGAAAGATAAAAACCACATGATCATATCAATAGATGCTGAAAAAGCATTTGACAAAATCCAGCACCCATTTCTGACAGAAACACTCAACAATGTAGGAATAGAGGGACATATCTCGACATAATAAAGGCCTACAGTCAACATCATACTCAATGGAAAAACACTTAAAGCATTTCCCTTAAGAACAGGAACAAAACAGGGATGCCTACTTTCGACACTCTTATTTAACATAGTACTGGAAAACTTAGCCACAGCAATTAGAAATGAAGAAAACATAAAAGGAATCCAAATTGGAAAGGAGGAAGTGAAACTGTCACTATTTGCAGGTGACATGATATTGTACATAGATAACCCTAAAAACTCCATTACAAATCTAGCTTTAATAAACAAATATGACAAGGTAGTAGGATACAAAATTAACATGAAGAAATCGATGGCATTCTTATACACCAATAATGAACTAACAGAAAGAAAAACTAAAAAGACAATCCCATTTACCATTGCAGCAAAATAATTAAGATACTTAGGACTAAGCTTAACCAAAAAAGTAAAGGACCTATTTGCAGAAAACTACAGGACACTGAAAAAAGAAATAGAGGAAAATGTAAGAAAGTGGAAGCATATACCTTGTTAATGGACTGGAAGAATTAACATCATTAAAATGTCCATACTACCCAAAGCAATCTATAGATTCAATGCAATCCCCATTAAAATACCAACAGCATATTTCACAGAACTAGAACCAATATTCCAAAAGTATATATGCAACCAGAAAAGACCTGAACAGCCACAGCAATCTTGAAAAAGAAGAACAAAGTAAGTGGGATCACAATACTATTTATCAGGTTATACTACAAAGCCACTGTAATCAAAACAGCCTGGTACTGGCATATAAATCAATGGAACAGAGCAGAGAACCCGAAAATTGACCAAAGAGATTATGCTCAATTAATATTTGACAAAGGTGGCACAAGAGCATACAATGGAGTAAAGAAAGCCTCTTTAATAAATGGTGTGGGAAAATTAGACAGCTACATGCAAAAAAAAAAAAAAAAAAAAAAAAAAAATGAAACTAGACCAGCAACTTACACAATACATAAGAATAAACTCAAAATGGATAAAAAAAAACCTTAAATGTGAGTCGTGAATCCATAAAAATCCTAGAATAAAGTATAGGCAACAAATTTTCACACATTACACGCAGCAGAATTTTCAGATACAACACTTAAGGCAAGAGAAACAAAGGAGAAAATTAATACACAAGGTTACATCAAACTAAAAAGCTTCTGCACTACCATGAAAATGGAAAGGGAACCCACTATATGGGAGGGCATAACTGCCAATGATACATTAGATAAAGGGTTAATTTCCAAAATATACTCATACAACTCAACAAAAGGAAGACAAAGAATCCCATTGAAAAATGGGCAGAGGACCTAAACAGACACCCCTCCAAACAGGACATACAAATGGCCAAGTGACATATTAAGAAATGCTCAATGTCACTAATCATCAGAGATAGAAATTAAAATAACTATGAGGTATCACCTCACACCTGCCAGAATGGCTGACATTAACAAATCATCAAACAACAAGCACTGGCCAGGGTGTGGAGAAAAGGGGACTCTAGTACACTGCTGGTGGGAATGCAGACTGGTGCAGCCAGTATGGAAAAACATATGGTGTTTCCTCAAAAAATTAAAAATTGAACTGCCAGTTGACCCTGTGATGCCACTTCTAGGAATACATCCTAAGAAGCTTGAAACACCAATTAGAAAGAATATATGTACCCCTACAATCATAGCAGAACTATTTATAATTGCTAAGATTGGGAAACAGCCTAAATGTCCATCAATAGATGAGTAAATAAAAAAGCTGTGGTATATATACACATGCTGCTCTACGAAAGAAAGATCTCTTATCCTTTGAGATGACATGGAGGGACCTGGAGAGCATTATGCTAAGCAAAAGAAGCCAATCAAAGAAAGACAAATACCACATGATTTCACTTATTTGTGGAAAATAATGAACAAAAAAAGCTGATGAACAAATTAAACGCAGAGTCATCTAAAGGAGTAGTGAGGTTCACACTGACCAACTTCAGAGGAAGAGGACAGGGGGGAGGGATGAGATAAACCAAGGAACTTATATGCATGTATGTGTAACCAATGGACATAGACAACAATGTTTGGGGGGTGGGGAGGCGGGATAGGGAGGAGGTTGTCTGTGGGGGAAAAGAAGAAACATCTGTAACAAAAATTAATTAATTAATTAATTAATTAATTAATTAAAATACCAATGGCATACATCACAGTTCTAGAACAAATACTCCAAAAGTTCATATGGAACCATAAGAGACCCTGAGTATCCACAGCTATCTTGAAAAAGAGGAACAACATTAGAGGGATCACAATTCCAGATTTCAGGTCATATTACAAAGCCATTGTAATCAAAACAACCTCATATTGGCACAAAAACAGACATATAGATCAATGGAACCAAACAGAGAACCCAGAAATTAACCCAAGACATTATACCCAATTAAAATTAGACAAAGAAGGCAAGAGCATACAATAAAGATAGTTTCTTCAGTAAACGATGTTGGGAAAACTGGACAGCAACATGCAAAAAAATGAAACCAGACTACCAACTTAATCCACACACAAACTCAAAATGAATAGAAGACTTAAATGTAACTCATGTAACCATAAAAATTCTAGAAGAAAAAGTAGGTAGCAAAATCTCAGATATCACAAGTAGCAGAATTTTCACCCATACATCGCTTATGGCAAGAGAAACAAAGAAAAAAAATCAATAAATGGGACTACATTAAGTTAAAAAGCTTCTGCACAGCAAAGAAACAAGTATCAAAATGAACGGGGAATCCACTGTATGAGAGAACATATCTGGCAATGATATATTGGATAAGGGGTTAATTTCCAAAATGTATAGAGTGCTCATACAGCTCAACAAAAGGAAGACAGAGAACCCAATTAAAAAGTGGGCAGAGGACCTAAATAGACAGTTCTCCAAACAGGACATACAAATGGCCAACAAACATATGAAAAATGCTAAACATCACTAATCATCAGAGACACAAATAAAATGACTATGAGGTAACACCTCACACCTGCTAAAATGGCTACCATCAAAAAATCATCAAACAATAAGTGCTGATGAGAAAGTGGAGAAAAGGGGACTCTAGTACCCTGTTGGTAGGAATGCAGACTGGTGCAGCCACTATGGAAAACAATACAGTATTTCCTCAAAAAATTCAAAATAGAACTGTCATTTGACCGTGATCCCACTTCTAGGAATATACCTTAAAAATTCTGAAACACCAATCAGAAAAATATATGCACCCTATGTTCATAGCAGCATTATTTACAACAGGTAAGAACTGGAAACAGCCCAAGTGTCCATCCATCAGCAGATGAGTGGATAAAAAGCTGTGGTACATTTACACAATAGAGTACTATGCAGCTGTAAGAAAAAAGATCTCTTACCCTTTGAGACCACATGGAGAGACCTGAAGAGTACTATCCTAAGTGAAATAAGCCAGTCAAAGAAAGACAAGTACCACATAATCTCACTTATTTGTGGAATATCATGAATAAAATAAGCTAAGGAGCAAAATAGATCCAGAATCATGGAAGTAGGGAACAGACTGACAAACCTCAGAGGGAAGGGTGGTAGGTAGGGCTGTAAGAGATAAAAGAAAGAACTTATATACAAATATGCATAACCAAGGGACACAGACAACACTGTAGTGAAGGTGGGGGGTGGGGGCGGAAGTAGGGAGGAGGTTGTCTATGGGGAAAAAAAGGGCAGACATCCATAATATCTTCAATAATAAAGTTAAACTTTTTAAAAACTGTGGGGATAATAACTGGTTCTGAGAAGGTGGAAATAAAGGTTCCCAATGATTCATTAATGCTAGCAAGTAGAAAATATATGTTTAACCTGGAACTTTCTGTTTAAGGTTCAGCCCTTGATAAAAGCATGAACAATAAAAACCTGAATGTTGCCATTATAAACTGTCCAGATTTAATGAATTAATGCATGTAAAGTAATTATACACAGCCTTGTACATACCAAGTATATACATATCAATAAATGTTAGCTATTATTACCGGTACTACTACAAATTGTATAAACTCCAAAATGCCTAAAATATTATAGTAGATAAACATGAGTTTTCTAACCAATAGAGAAAAATATTATGAATATTACTTTATCTATCTATCTATCTATACACACACACACACATATACTTTACATATATGTAGAGATTAGATAGTTTTTTTGATGTGGGTTAATTCTTGCTCCTATCCTAAGGTCTATATAACAGCAGAATAGCCATAATTGGTGAACATTAATATAAGAGCCCAACCCACAGATCACTGAGATGACCTGGAAGGTTTAACAAGAATCAATGGACTACACTGTATAATTAAGTAATGTTGAAATGGAAAATAGAGTTAAATATCACCCCCAACACAAACACACACACACACTATTTATACTCTCAGATGTCTTTCTGAGACAATGACTCTAATTTTGGAAAAAAATCTATTACTCACCACAGCAAAGACAAAGTCAAGATACTTAATGTTGCTACTGTTCAGTCTAAGTAGAGCAGTTTGAGAATGGCAGCTGCCAGTAAAGTCAGTTGTATTGGGGTTGATGTTAACAACTGAAGCAACCTTTAGTGAAAGAAGAGGAAGGAAAGGTACAGATTAACCATAAATGTCTACAACAAAACCTTATACTCTAATAAGACCAACTTCAGTGGAGAACCAAAAAACCCTTTAGTCTGGATACTTAAGTTTATGATGTCTTACTTTCAAACAAAGTTGGCACAGGCCCTCAAGCTATGACTCAGAGGACTTTAAACAACAACAACAACAAAAAAAGCGAAAGAAGCTTCCTTAGTAATGAGCCAAATTAAAATACACATAATTTATGGAGCATAAGAGCCATCTGTCTGGCCTGTTAATGTCATGGGATTTATTCATTGGTACGCCCCCTGTTGCCTCAGTGGAACACTGCAATTAGAAGTGCCATCCTGTACTTGAACAACATCTGTCTGATTTAAGTCATCAAATAGCTGGAGAAACAGACAGGTGCCCTATTCCCACACATCAACCTACAGTGCATGTTTCAGATATAAGTGTGAAGGACTTATGTTTAAACAGACTGAAATAACAATCAACTCTGATATTCTCTATTCTACTGATGGCAAATAGAATCTAAGCTCAAAGAGTCCTTTAAACTGCTAGATTTCCTGCTGCCTGAGATAACATTTTGATAACGACATTAACTCTTCCTGGTTATAGTAACTCCAAACTCATCAAAACTCAGTGAGTCAATATCAAATCTTCACTTAAAACACCATGATTCTCGTAATACTACTCTTGAGCTGAATGCAGGACACACTATTTGAAAGGAGATGGGAATAGAATGTATCCATAAAAATCAACAACCATACTTCATCTTGAGTGATATAGACAACTATACCTTATCATGAGTCATGTTCAGCTGCAGACCCATGGTAGCCAGAAGACAAGTGCCATTGCTATTATTAACCGAATAGGATCCAATCTCTGGTTTTTCCTTTGGAGTGGGTGTTGTAGTAGGAGATGGCAAACTGGTAGGAACAATGGGCACCATAGTGGTTGTTTTGTCTTTATCACACAAAAACTCTAAAACAAACAAAAGACAAAATAAACTAAAGCAGATTTTTTCTTAATTCATAAAGCCAGGGAAGAACAAAATATTTCTCATAATAGCAGTCCAAAAGAAGGGAAGGGAATACTTTGATAGTGTATTTGAAAATAAATGAGGTAGAGTTCTTAAACTGCTACTTCATATGCAGACAATCTCTAAGTTATGACACAGCAGACAGGCTCCAGGCACATCCAAATTCTTTATCTACTAGCACATGGCCAGCCACACAGCCATCTTTTCAGACCCTTAAATCCCCTTATTCTCAAAGAACTTCATCTGCCTCTTATGTGAAAATCATAAATTTAAGTTTGAAAAAATTTTACTCCAACCTAGGCCTGTCCTCTTCTTTCCCACATACAACCACTATAAGATAGTATTTACTAGAATAAAGTTTAGAAATCATTGAAGGATTTAAATACAAATGAACCTTTTATTTGTGTCACCCCTATAGCAAATCATAGGCAGTTAACCTCTTTTTACTTTTTATCTTATTTAATTAATTAATTTTTGTTACACATGATTCTCCCCCCCCCAACACTGATTCCCCCCTCCCCCTCCCCGCCCTGTCTCCAGCTTTGTTGTCCATGTCCATTGTTCATGCATACTTGCATATAAGTTCTGTGGTTTATCTCTCCCCTACCAACCTCCCTTTCTGGGGATTTTCAGTCTGTACCCCACTTCCATGTCTCTGGGACTACCCCATTCCTCAGACTGTTATGTTCATTATGTTCCACAAATAAGTGAGATCATATGGTACTTGTCTTTCTCTGTTTGGCTTCTTTTGCTTAGGATAATACTTTCCAGGTCCCTCCTTGTCGTCTCAAAAGATAAGAGATCTTTCTTTCTTACAACTGCATATTACTCCATTGTGTATTATGTACCATAGCTTTTTCATCCATTCGTTTACTGATGGACATTTGGGCTGTTTCCAGATATTAGCTATTGTAAATAATGCTGCTACGAACATGGGGATACATATACTCTTTCTGATTGGTGTTACAGGCTTCTTAGGGTTTATACCTACAAGTGGAATTACTGGGTCAAATGGCAGTTCCATTTTTAATTTTTTGAGGTAACACCATATTGTTTTCCATAGTGGTTGCACCAGTCTGCATTCCCACCAGCAGTGTACTAGAGTCCCCTTTTCTCCATACCATTGCCAACACTTGTTGTTTGATGATTTGTTGATGGCGGCCATTCTGACAGGTGTGAGGTAATAACTCATTGTTGTTTTAATTTGCATCTCTCTGATGATTAGTGATGTTGAGCATTTCTTCATATGTCTCTTAGCCATTTGTATGTCCTGTTTGGAGAGGTGTCTATTGAGTTCCTTTGCCAATTTTTAATTGGGTTCTTTGTCTTCCTTTTGTTGAGTTGTGTGAGCACTCTATATATAATGAAAATTAACCCCTTATCTGATATATCATTGGCAATGATGTTCTCCCATATAGTGGTTGCATTTCCATTTTGATGATTGTATCTTTTGCTGTGCAGAAGCTTTTTAGTTTGATGTAGTCCCATGTGTTCATTTTTTCCTTTGTTTCTGTTGCCTTAGGTGATAAATCAGTGAAAATTCTCCTGTGTATGATGTCTGAAATTTTGTTGCCTACAGTTTCTTCTAGGATTTTTATGGATTCATGAGTCACATTTAAGTCTTTTATCCATTTTGAGTTTATTCTTGTGTAGGGTGTTAAGTTGATGTTCTAGTTTCATTTTTTTGCATGTAGCTGTCCAATTTTCCTAACACTATTTATTAAAGAGGCAGTCTTTATTCCATTGTATGCTCTTGCCACCTTTGTCAAATATTAATTGAGCATAATGTCTTGGGTGCATTTCTGGGTTCTCTATTCTGTTCAATTGATCTCTCTGCCTGTTCTTATGCCAGTACCAAGCTGTTTTGATTACAGTAGCTTTGCAGTATAACCTGAAATCTGGTAATGTGATCCCTCCAACTTTGTTCTTTTTTTTCAAGATTGCTGTGGATATTCAAGGTCTTTGACCTGTAGTTTTCTGTGAATAGGTCCTTTATTTCTTTGGTTAAGTTTATTCCTAGTTATCTTAATATTTTTTCTGTGATGGTAAATGGGATTTTTTTTTAGTTTATCTTTCTGTGAGTTCATCATTGGTGTATAAGAATGCTGTGATTTCTTGACGTTAATTTTGTATCCTGCCACTTTGCCAAATTCATTTATTAAGTCTAGTAAATTGTTGATGGAGTCTTTGGGGTTTTCTACGTATAGTATCATGTCATCTGAAAATAATGACAGTTTCATCTCCTCCTTTCCTATTTGGATCCCTTTTATTTTTTCTTCCTGTCTGATTGCCGTGGCTAAGATTTCCAGTACTATGTTAAATAAGAGTGGCGAAAGTGGGCATCCTTGTCTTGTTCCTGTTCCTAAGGGAAATGCTTTTAGTTTTTGCCCATTGAGTATGATGCTGGCTGTAGGTCTTTAATACATGGCCTTTATTATGTCGAGATATAATCTCTCTATTCCCAGATCGCTGAACGTTTTTATCAGAAATAAGTGCTGGATTTTGTCGAATGCTTTTTCAGCATCTATTGATATGATCATTATGATTTTTATCTTTTATTTTGTTTATGTGGTGTATCACATTTATTGATTTGCAAATATTGCACCAGCCTTGCATCCCTGGGATAAATCCCACTTGGTTATTTTGGATAATTTTTTTGATGCATTGCTGGATTCGATTTGCTAGTATTTTGTTCAGGATTTTGGCATCTATGTTCATCAGGGATACTGGTCTGTAGTTTTCTTTCTTTGTAGTGTCTTTTTCTGGTTTTGGAATTAGAATTGTGCTGGCCCCACAAAACGAGTTTGGAAGTCTTCCTTCTTCTTGAATTTTTTGGTATAGTTTGAGGAGAATGAGTATTAGTTCTTCTTTGAATGTTCTGTAGAATTCCCCCGTGAAGCCATCCGGGCCTGGTATTTTGTGTGCTGGGAGAGTCTTGATTACATCTTCAATTTCTTTTGTTGTTATTGGTCTTTTCAAGTTTTCTATCTCTTCCTGGTTTAGTTTTGGGAGACTATGTGTTTCTAGAAATTTGTCCATTTCACTTAGATTGTCGAATGAGTTGCCATATAATTGTTCATAATATTTTTTAACAATCCTTTGTATTTCTGTGGTGTCAGTTATTATTTCTCCTCTTTCATTTCTGATTCAACCTCTTTTTAGGAAGTGTTGGTAGTTTCCCAGAACTGGTAAATGAAAAATTATTTCATTTCCATAAAGTCTTAAAAAACCAATTCATAAAATTCAAAATTAGAATCCAGAAATTTAATTTCTATGCTTTTGTCTTGGATCTTCAAAAGCGAAAGAGCTGAGGATCACATACTATTTGAGGATTTGTTCAAAGACTACGTTATATCAGCTGAAAACACTATGTGCAGAGCATTTTCAAATATCTTTCCACGAGAGGTACATTATAAACTTAAAATGGCAAGTTCCACAAGAATAAGAATTGTTATTATTTATAAAAATTTTACAGTCCTGTGTAAACTATGAATAAGTTTTAGTATGATTCACGCTTGCAGGTAACAACTTCAACAAAGCTACCTGGTATACTCATCTGAAATTAGAACCCAAGTACAGAAATATATACTTTAAGTAGTTACCTTTTGTGCTCACTGTGCCATTTTGGACATAAGCTTGTACATGAACATCCCAATAGTGCTGGACAACCATGTTCTCTTGTAAAGTCAATATAGCATTGCATCTAAAGATGTCATCCAATGGAATTCTGAATGCCACAGGATAATGAACAGTAAAAACTCCTGTAAAAAAGATTAACAACAGCTGTTTTCAAGAAGGTAGGAAAAAGGTAATAATGTAAATATATATTATACGTTCTTCTCTTCTGTGTGCCTACCCCACCCCATCCCTGAAGTGACAAAGGACATGGCATCTTTAGGGAATGATACATTCACTGTAGCTAAAACAGGGCGTAAGAGAAAAGACACAATGGGGGTTAGAAAGGGAAGACAAGTTTGCAGGTGGTTACACTCTGAAGTATCTTATATGATCTAAGGACAGTCTAATTGGGATTTATTTTGTTAGCAATGGAAAGTCAGCTTCAGTTTTTAAAGATGGAAATAAACAACGCATGTATAATTTATTTTAAGGGAAACAGCAAAATTGCAGAGGGTAGGTAGGAGAGAAAAATGGTAAGAAAAGTCATTTAAGAGGGAAACCAGTTAGAAGGCTGTTGACATGGTTAAGGTGAAAAGCAAGGAGGGGGATACCTAAACTAAGATACGTAGGGGCAGTAGGAAGAGAGCAAAGAGGCCAAACTGAAAACACATATCTAAGGTAGAATCAACAGGACAGTGACAAAACAAGGAAGACAGATGCATTAATCAGGGATTTTGTAGTAAATCCTTATTTTTGTGCTACTATCCCAGAGTAAGTTATGCTAACTGCATGAACTTTTGGAACCTCTTCTTGATAGAATTTAAAAACTATTCAATTTCATAAAATCTTCAGAATGTGAAAGCAATACGTTATAGCTATTCTGTACAGAGTTTTTATTATAATTCCTATAGTAAAACTTCAAGACTGTGATCACACTTATCCACACAAATGACTTAGTTTCTATTGGAGAAGCATCAAAGGAGGAAGGTACTATTCAAGGTCCATAATATAGACTGCCTTCATAATATAGGCTCTCAATCATGTAGCAAGACAGCCAATTAATGCTGCTTTGGCTCCCCCTAATGGTCAAAGGAAAAAAATTTTTAACCAATGAACTAGAACATTTTTCTTCGAAACTGTTTTCACCGTTAATGTAAGTGAACAAATATATGAACTCGCTGTATATAGATAGACCTCAAAAACAAACAGTGAAAAAACAAGTTGTGGAAATATTAGAATTACACTATAAAATTATCATTTTAAACGATGTATTGTTTATGAACATATATATCAACATATGTATTAGTCAAGTATGAACACATGGATAAGAAGGCTAGACCCCAAATTCATGAAAATGGTTACCTCTCAGGAGTCAGGGAGGAAAATGGCTCAGGAGTGAGTACAAAGGAAACCTCAAGTATATCTGTAATATTTTATTTCTTTAAATAAAAAGATGAGGCAAATATGAAAAACGATGGCATTTACTAATTCTGGGTAATGGATACATGTGGGCCTGTTATATTAGTCTTGGTATTTTTCTGTATTTTAATCATGAAAAACACTTTAAAGAAAACAGTAATTTCAAAGTCACTTCAATGATCAGGTGCCTAAAAAGAAAACACTAAATTATTTCAAAAACCATCAACAGTCCATTTAAAGAAGCCCTTTTAAATTTCAAAGTTTCAAAATATTACACAGATGCTAGTAATAAAAAAAAATCTGCATTCTCCTTTGTTTAAAATAAAAAGTGGGTGAGATATGTGTTAACATTTAGAGTCCAAAGTTTTCCCATCAAATCTATCAGATTAAACCCCTCCTCCTTTTCCTGCTACCCCCTTGGTCCAGGCACTCATTACATCATACCTTAATTACTCTAACAGCCTCTGAAGTTGTGTAGTCTCCTCACTTCAAGATGAATCCTGCAGAACATTCTTTATAAACTGTCTCTGCTTTTGTTGTATCATTCTCCTGATAAAAATCTAAAATGGTTCCCCAGTGCCTATCTCATCAAGCTAAATAGCCTTTCCTTGGCTTCCAAGGCCCCATATAATTTAGATCCACTGCCACCCAGCCAACTTGATTTTCTTGCTGCTACGCACACAGCCTCTATTTTAATCAGACAGCTCTCCAATTACTGCTGCACATACTATGCTTCTCTCTGCTGGAAATAAACTGTTCAAAATTCTCCGCGTATCCAAATTCTACATTTTCAGAGTTTCAGCTCAGGTCCTACTTTTCACTCCTCCAACACACACAGACCTCTCCTTTCTCTGTGCTCTTTGTTAATCAGGACCCCTTGTGAGAACACTTTAAATCCGGCCTCTTAACAACAGGCTCAGGGACTATGTACAATGTGCAAATTTCACTCTGTACTTTGAGAGAAAGGACGTAAAGCTTCTCTCACATTGTCAGAAAATATTTGAGCCCTCCACCCTACCCCAAGCACAAACAACAAATTCACACAGATCTCAATGCTTTCCAATTTATCCATGTACTTGAAAAAATAATTTCACTTTGTCTCTCCAACTAGTTTTTAAGCTCCTTGAAAGTGAGGGGCAAATCTTACACTAGTTCTGAAATACAATGTAGGGCACAAAACTAAATATATAAGATATCCCATAACAAACTTGCTTTAGTTATCTTCTCAAACTAGGAGATTAGTAAAAAGGAAACTAGGATTTGATTTCCAAGTCTTGGTCTGTGATATCTCCCATTTTATATGAGCACATTCACTTCTAGGTCTTTAAAATATGATCTTTTTATATCCATATATCCAAATGAGTCATTTATCCCCATGTCTAGGCAACTGAAGCCCATGTACCTATTTCTGGGGTCAGAATGAAATTATACCAATGAGAAATGCTAAGCTACTACAAACACCATGTTAACTCAACTTCAACAGAGGTGTAAGAAAGGAGAGAAATCTATTCCTAATACAATGGAAATCTCCATTATCCATGCCTTAAAAATATTTTAATACACATTTCAGTCCTAGTATTTTACAAGGGTGACCTAATTGCCAATGCTTTCCCCAAGGTCATGTTGACCTGAAATTGTCTCAAAACAGCAGCATATTTTTTAAATCATCATTTACTTTTCAATCAAAATCCTATCTAAATGGTAAAAAGATTTGAACATGAAGTATTTCTATTGTTCTCAGATTACTGAACTTGTACACATTAAAAATAGTTATTAGTAAAGGATTTGCTCATTGATTCATCATTTGTTGAGTGCCCACTATTGAATGAAATAAATTGTAATAGTTAAGTGTATAAACTATAGTTCAATAGACTTTGGTTCAAAAAACAGTTCATCTGCCCCGCTGGTGTGGCTCAGTGGTTGAGTGTCGACCCATGCACCAAAAGGTCGCCAGTTCTATTCCCAGTCAGGGCACATGCCCAGGTTGTGTGCCCAATCCCCAGTGGGGGGCATGCAGGAGGCAGCCAATCAATGTTCTCTCTCATTGATGTTTCTATCTCTCTCTCCCTCTCCCTTCCTCTCTCTAAAATCAATAAAGGGAAAAAAAAGAATGTCTTTGATAAAGCAGTAAAAATTATTAAAAGAAACAAAACAGCTCATCCACTTACTAGCCTATGTAACCTTTGGGAATGTCACTTAATCTCATCAGGCCTCATTCCTTTTACCTATAAAGTTGGGATAATATCTACTTCTCAGGCTGACTGGTAAGGATTAAGTGAGATGCTGCTGGTAACACATTTAGGATACTACCGGCTACAAAGTACAGCAAATACCATTACTGTGTTGAACACTGTTGGGAAGGATACAAAACAAAGTTTCCATTCTAGTTAGAAAGACAGACATGCATAAGGATGATTTTTAAATTATTCATATTTTTATTATTACTGAACAGCAAGAGACCATAACACAAATCCAATTACCTTTCTCTTTAGCATCAGGAAATGTTGTGTTATCATGAGTGTCATAGGAAAATGAGATGTTTTCAATTGAATAAGTAGACACCTCCTTTGTAAAATTCACAGTCCAGGAAAAACCAGATCCAAATTGCACCTCAATTTTGGGACCATTCTGGTCATCCCCACAGGTGCTTCCATTGTATGTTGCATTGCCAAGGCCTGAAATGGTTACAGTTTTCTAAAAGAAAAAGAAGTTTGATTTGTGGATGATTAGATAAAGATGTGGTACATACATACAGTTGAATACTACTCAGCTATAAAAAGATAAAAGTATTGCCATTTATGACAACGTGGATGGATCTTAAGATTATTATGCTAAATGAAGTAAGCCAGATGGAAAAGGACAAAAATCATAAGATTTCACTCATATATGGAATAGAAAATAAAAAGTAACAAACTAACAAAAACCAGCTCATAGATACAGACAACAGAATGGTGGTTACCACAGGGGAAAGAGAGTGGGGGAGAGTGATGTGGGTAAAGGGCATCAAATATATGGTTATGGAAGGAAACTAGACTTTGAGTGTTGAGCATACAATGCAATATACAGATTATGCATTATAATTTTGTACACCTGAATATTATATAATGTTATTAATCAATGTTACCCCAAATAAATTTAATAGTAATATAAATAAATAAATAAACAAAAGAGATGAGGTTGGAAAAGGAAAAGAAGTTTGGAGGTAAGGAGCAAACAGGCAGTAATGAGCACAAGCATTTTCGCAGGATGTACTACTTCAGTCTACATCACACATCTCCTGTGGCTAGGTTGCCCTTTGCCTGACTTGCGTGTAAACCAGTCTTGGATTCCTCAGCTACACACAGTCCTCTGGACAAATTCGTGTACTATGTCTAAAAGGAAAAGGAAAACTGGCTTGAACTTCTGTTAAGTTGATTTTTTAAAAAATCAGGTTGTAAGCAGATAGGACCTTAACTAAAAATAAATAAATAAAAAGGCAAATGGATTAAGAAGTACTGCCAAAAAGGGGGATTTTTTAATAGCAAGCTATTAAAAAAGGGACAAGCTTTGATGTTAATACATGTTAAAAACATTACAGAAGTAGTCAGAACACCATAGAGTTTTCAGATCATTTGCCCTTAAGCAACTCCAAAAAAAACTTAAAAAAAACAATGAATTAAAATATTCTTTCCGCCCTGGCCGGTTTGGCTCAGCGGTTAGAGCATCGGCCTGTGGTCCGGAGAGACCCAGGTTCGGTTCCCGCTAAGGGCACATACCGAGGTTGCAGTTTGTCCCCGGCCCTGGTTGGTTGTGCGGGTGGCGACCACTCGATGTGTCCCTTTCACATCGATGTTTCTCTCTCTCTCCCTTCCTCTCTCTCCCTCCCACTCTACCTGAACAAAAAATGGAAAAATGTCCTCGGGTGAGGATGTTAAAAAAAATATATATATATATTCTTTCCAACACTGATCAAAATACATTCAAAGATACATGTTTAAAAAAAAAAAAAACAAAACCACAGAATTTAAATGTTAAGTTATTTAACATACAAATTGTATTTGTATAAATGCATGTATACGATGAAAAGAGTAGAATTAGCCCTGGCCAGTTTGGCTCAATGGTTAGAATGTTGGCTCATGGACCGAAGGGTCTCAGGTTCAATTCCCAGTCAAGGGCATGTACCGGTGTTGCAGGTTCAATCCCCAGTACTGAGGTTGTGCAGGAGGCAACCAATCAATGTGTCTCTCTCATCTCAATGTTTCTTTCTCTCCCTCTCCGCTGCCCCCTCCAGTCTATTTTAAAAAAAACAAACAAACAAAAAAAAAAACAATGGAAAATATCCTCAGGTAAGGATTAAAAGACAAAAATATAGAATTATTATAAAACTCAAAGAAAAATACTTACATATTTGTTGTTTGTAGTCTCATAGCGTATTGTGAAATTCATCTGCCATTTTGCATAAAGGCAAGTGGCTTTTTCTGAATTCATCAAATTAAGTTCTAATGCATAAGCTGAGACAGCTCCTAGATAAAAAAGAATAAGATTTTAAAATTGTACTACAAAAATATATAAAAATAAGCTCTATCCACCACTGAATTTCAGCCAGCTCTGAAATGAAACAAAGTATTTTGAATAGATATGGCATCTTGGTGATTGTTTTTCTGTATATCTTTAGTGGAATGCTATTGATAACTTTAGCATTACCTCTTCCCAAAAGAATGGCTGCTTGACCTAGGATTCATAGTTAATAGCACAGACTGGTGTACATTTCCCTCTTGCCTCCTAATAATAATTTCCACATTCGTCTATGCCTCACTGGTTTTGTTTTAGGTCATTATAGTTTGCCTGTTCAGATTTTTATCCTTTAAGGCAAACAACGTAAGGGGAAGTTTGAAAGGGGTGTTAAACTCCTGCTTCTCTCAAACCAGCTCATGGAACTTTCTCTGCAAAAATAACGATAGATCTAACGTTCAATGGCCTTATTGCCTTAAAGTCTGTCACAAACTACATGAACTATGACATACGGGTGTCTTCTTATGTGAAAAGGTGGGATAACTCTTTTGAAGCATGTCTACCATGTGAGCAAAGGAGCAGAATTTCAAAGGTTGCTTGACCTATAAGCAAAAGATTAATTTTTATAAATGCAATATTGGTTCCTCACTTTTTGTTTCATTTAAACATCCAGTTTATGCCCTGGCCGGTTTGGCTCAGCGGTTAGAGCGTCGGCCTGCGGTACAGAGAGACCCAGGTTCGGTTCCCGCTAAGGGCATGTACCTCGGTTGCAGTTTGTCCCCGGCCCTGGTTGGTCGTGCAGGTGGCAGCCACTCGATGTGTCCCTTCACATCGATGTTTCTCTCTCTCTCTCTTCCTCTCTCTCCTTCCCGCTCTATCTGAACAAAAAATGGAAAAATGTCCTCGGGTGAGGATAAAAAAAAATGTGTATATATATATACATATATATACATCCAATTTATTACAAAGGCTGATGGATCTTTTGACATGGACTCAAAGTCACTTCCTGCATTCTCAACCTCCTACCTCTTTAGGCAGGGAAATCATACGGAAACAGAAAAGGCTTTGAGACTCTTCCGCTATTTTGACTCAGATCTTCTACATTAGGTTAAACATAGGGAGGATATTACCTATTACACTGGAGAGCCTGAGGACTCAAGGTACTATATGCTGGCAAACACACCAGCAGCATAAATGATGGGTAACCAACCATCTAAGGATTTACTTCATTGTCTCATACATTACCCAAGGGATGAGCTGTTTCCTGTTAAGATAGCTGCAGATCCTTTAATAATATCTGAGCAATCTACCTTCATCTACAAGTAGGGACATGTTATAGACTATAGAGAATAAACTCCTAAGAGGAATATTAAGAAGGCGTGCCTCAGCAACAGCTTTCAAGCTGTACACAAGTCTGTCGTCAGGCTCCAGAGTCTGGGTTGCCTTGCCAAGCCTGAATATTATGCTAAAGCTTGTGGTTATTGACAGTGCCTAAATGTGTTGGCTAAGGTTTGAAAAGACCTTGTGAGGCCTAAGTAGATTTTACAGTCACTCTTTTCTAAGTACAATATGGAATGGAGCTTTTGTCACTGATCCAAGGCTACCCGGTAGTAGTGGTGAGAACTCCAGCCCATAATTTTTCTAATCAACTGGAGGCCTGCTTTTTATATGCTATGTCTCTCAGTCTTGTTTAAAGTCCCTAGCTTTAACATATTCTCCTTGTATTCAAAGCATTCAAAACTATTATAAATAGCCAACAGAAGCCTCACATGGATGAATTATTTACATTTCAAAGATATTAGAGTAACAGAAAGAAAACAGCATAAAATAATAATAGTATTAATGTGGGTCAAGGCGAAGCTTTATGAAACAGAAGGTACAGGTTATGGTCCAAATTTTCCACCACATTAAATTTACCACTACATAAATCTGAGATCTGAGAAACACCCTGAGGGATCTGGCACATTTGTTCCAGTCCCTTCAGAGTCTCTCTCTGTGAGAGCTATTCTTTCCACAGAGCTTACTTCACTGTCTGGTCATTATTGACAATTGTACAGAGACTGCTTTTACTCAATGGCCTATTACCTCAAACTCAACAATTCCAAAACTAAAATTCATTCTTCTACTTCCTCCAAACTGGTCCCCTTCTAGGCTTCTCTACCTCTGAATAAAAGGCAACACCACATATAGTCACTCAGGCTCAAGAGTATGAGAATTACCTTCTCTTTCATTTTCTTCATTAAGTCCTATTGATTTTTTCCCTTCAAATTCTCTCATAAATCCAATCTTTGTCTTTTATTTCTACTCCCAATCTACCACCAACCCCTAAATTACCAGACACCTCCTAGTTCCTGCTCCTAGAAGAACTGCCAGATTAATGGTCCTTGAATGCCTCTTCCTCTCAGGACACTTTCTTGCTCACAAAGTTTTATTGGCTCCAAAATTCCCATATTAAATTTTATGAAAAAGAAGGACAAAGTAGGTGGGATCACAATACCAGGTATCAGATTATACTACAAAGCAACTGTAATTAAAACAGCCTGGTACTAGCACAAGAACTGGCATATAGACCAGTGGAACAGAACAGAGAACCCAGAAATGGACCCAGGGCAATATGCTCAATTAATATTTGACAAAGGAGGCAAGAGCATACAGTGGAGTAAAGACAGCCTCTTTAATAAATGGTGCTGGGAAAATTGGACAGCGACATGCAAAAAAAATAAATAAATAAAACAAGACCATCAACTTACACCATACACAAGAATAAACTCAAAATGGATAAAAGACTTAAATGTGACCCGTGAATCCATAAAAATTCTAGAAGAAAATGTAGGCAACAAAATTTCATACATCATACACAGCAGAATTTTCACTGATACATCACCCAAGGCAATAGAAACAAAGGAAAAAATGGACACATAGGACTACATCAAACTAAAAAGCTTCTGCACAGCAAAAGAAACAACCATCAAAATGGAAAGGCAACCCACTGTATTGGAGAGCATCATTGCCAATGATACATCAGATAAGGGGTTAATTTCCAAAATATACAGAGTACTCATAAAACTCAACAAAAAGAAAACAAAGAACCCTTATTAAAAAATGGACAAAGAAACTGAATAGACACCTCTCCAAACAGGACATACAAATGGCCAAGAGACATATGAAGAAATGCTCAACATCACTAATCATCAGAGAGATGCAAATTAAAACAACAATGAGGTATCACCTCACAACTGTCAGAATGGTCGCCATCAACAAATCATCAAACAAGTGTTGGCAATGGTGTGGAGAAAAGGGGACTCTAGTACACTGCTGGTGGGAATGCAGACTGGTGCAGCCACTATGGAAAACAATATGGTGTTGCCTCAAAAAATTAAAAAATTATCTGCCATTTGACCAAGTGATCCCACTTCTAGGAATATACCCTAAGAAGCCTGAAACACCAATCAGAAAGAATATATGTACCCCCATGTTTGTAGCAGCACTATTTACAATAGCTAAGATCTGGAAACAGCCCAAGTGTCCATCAGTAGACTAATGCATAAAAAAGCTGTGGTACATAATACACAATGGAGTACTATGCAGCTGTAAGAAAGAAAGATCTCTTATCCTTTGAGATGACATGGAGGGACCTGGAAAGTATTATCCTAAGCAAAACAAGCCAAGCAGAAAAAGACAAATACCACATGATCTCACTTATTTGTGGAATATAATGAACATAACAGTCTGAGGAATATGGTAGACCCAGAGATGTGGAAGTAGGGTACAGACTGACAACCCTCAGAAGAGGGGGTGGTAGGGAGAGGGAAGAGATAAACCACAGAACTTATATTCATGTACGCATAACCAATGGACATGGAATACAAAGCCGGGGACGGGGTTGGGGAATGGGGAGGAGGGTGTCAATGTGGTAAAAAAGAAGAAACATCTGTAACAAAAATAAAATTAAAAAATAAAAATAAACAAAAAAAAATTTTAACTCCTCTGCCTGGCTTTCAAAGTAATCCTTAATCTTTTCTACCCTATTCCTTCCACTTTTATCAAGCTGTTTTCCCACACCCTTTGATCTGGTTAAACTTGTTCCACTGGACCCAAATGCTATGTTGTATTCAATCTCAACCCCTACCTAACATTTGAAATGTACTTTCTTCTACTGACCTAAATGTTCACCTCAGGAAGGATTTCACTCTGAAACACTCTCTCCACTACTTTTTAAAAATATATATAAACAATTTCTGGCAGATATCACTGCCTACTTTAAAAGCTAAAAATGTTGCCCAGTCGGTGTAGCTCAGTGGATTGAGCGTCGTCTCATGGACTGACAGGTCCCAGTTCAATTCCTGGTCAAGGCGCATGCCCAGGTGTGGGCTTGATCCCCAGTAGGGGGCAAACAGGAGGCAGCCAACTGATGTTTCTCTCACATTGATGTTTCTATCTCTCTCTTCACCTTACTCTCTCGCTAAAAAAAAAATCAAAAGAATCAAATAAATGCAAAAAAAAATGGCCTGGACTGTCTAAAAATGTCAATTTCATAAAAGATTAAAAAAGAAAAAAAAGGGCTGAAGAACCATTCCAGACAAAGGAGATTCAAGAGTCATGACAAATACAGTCAGTGACCTTTGATTAGATCCTAGATTTATAAAAGAAATTATAAATGACATTTTCAGGACAACTGAAGAAATTCAACACTAAGATCTATATATTAAGTAATGATACTGTACCAGTTACATTTTCTGTGTGTCATCGGCCTTGCTCTTAGGAGACACACGCTGAAGTATTTTGGGATGAAGAGTCAGGATGAAAAAAAAAATTTTAAATAAATAAATAAAAGCTGAAAATGTCAGATACTTGCTTTTCCAGCCTCCCTTGCAATAAGGATGGGATCTTGTGCTAGGTTCCACCTAACAAAGACATCCACACCAGAATCAGAATAGGAGAGCCAGGGAATGAAGCCAGGAATGGATCTATCTCCCTCAGGTGGAAGTAGCTACCGGCAGGATCAAGCTCC